AGTGAAGGCAGGGGAGGGTGGAGGTGGGGGTAAGAGATCAACCAAAGGACTTGTATGCATACATATAAGCATAACCAATGGACATAAGACACTGGGGGATAGGGGAGGCTAGGGGACTGTCTTGGGCGGGGGGGGAAAATGGACACATATGTAATATCCTTTGTAATAAATAATAAAATTTAAAAAAAAATTCTCCAGCTGCTTTTAAATTTATCTTTTTTAATTCAATTTATTGGGATGGCCTTGGTAAACAGGTCACACAGGTTTTAGGTGTAGATTTCTACCTTACAAGATCTGCATATTGCACTGTGTGCCCAACACCCAAAGTCACGTTTTTATCTTTGGTTTTAGCAGTTTGACTGTGATGGGACTTGCTGTGTTTTCTTCATCTTTATCCCACTTAGAATGTTTAGTGCTTCTCCAATCTGTGGCTGGGCGTCTCCTTTGGTTTGGGAATTTCTCAGCTGTCATCTCCGCAAATATTGTGTCTGCCCATTCTTTCTCTTTGGTCCTTCTCAGGTGGACCTGCTCACGTCTCCAGTTTCTTATGCTGAGTTTCTTATGCTTTCGTCTGGATGTTCTCTTTGGTGCATCTTCCAGTTCATTAATTCTCTCTTTAGTTACATTTAACCTGCTTTTACATCTGTTCACAGTCTGATTTCAATACTTTTTCAAATATAAATTTTCTGTTTTATTTTTTATAGCTTCTAGTTCTCTGAAAAAGAAATTCCATCTCATCCTTTTAATTCCTTGAACATATTAAGCTGAGATGTGTTTGTTTTCAAGCCTGCTCCTGCCTGCTCCATCAGCTGCCTCTCCCGAGTTGGCCATTGCCTGCTTTCCTCTCTGTTGTCCGTGGGTTTGGGTGCATGTACACCTAGTGAGTTAGGTGCTGCCTCTTGTGTAGGAAGAACTGCAGAGATCATTTGAGCTCTGTAGGATGTCAGTTCTCTCCATGGAAATTTACAGTAATAATCTCTTAACCTAAGTTACCTCTGTTAGAGCCTGTTTACTCCCAGGTCACACTCACTCCTGGGTGCTGCCCTTCAGGGTCCAGCCCTAGGACCAGAGAGTTCTCTGGAGACTTTCCTCCTGGGCAACCCTAAGTGCAGGTCGTTTACTCCTGTTCTTATACATCTGCTGAACGTTCGATGTAGCTCTTCAGCTGTCAGCAGCCAACTCCAAAATCAGCAAGTCTTCTAAGAAAAGATGGCCCCAGGTACTTATCTTTTATCTGCATTACTTGGTGGCTCTTTAATGCCTTTAAGCAGGTGTTTTTATTTTACACTAGAGGCCTGGTGCACGAATTCATGCATCAGAGGGGTCCCTCAGCCTGGCCTGCAGGATCAGGCCAAAATAGGCTCTCCAACATCCCCTGAGGGGCCCCAGATTCTGAGAGGGCACAGGCCAGGCCAAGGGACCCCACCGGTGCATAATCGGGCCCGGGGAGGGATGCAGGAGGGCTCCAGGGCATGTCCGGCCCCATGTCACTCATTCCCGATCTACCAGACCCCAGCAACAAGCTCACCTACTAGTCAGAGCATCTGCCCACTGTTGGTCAGTGCATTTCATAGCAACCCGTCGACTGTCTTCCCCCTGGTGGTCAGTGCACGTTATAGCAAGCAGTTGAGCAGCCTTAGGATATCATTAGCATACTAGAGACCCGGTGCACGAATTTGTGCACCAGTGGGGTTCCTCAGCCTGGCCTGAGGGGTTGGGCTGAAACCGGCTCTCCAACATCCCCTGAGTAGTCCTGGATTGTGAGAGGGCACAGGCCAGGCTGAGGGACCCCACGGGTGCACGATCGGGGCCAGGGAGGAATATGGGAGGTTGGCCAGTCAAGGAGGGACCACGGGAGGGCTCCAGGGTGTGTCTGGCCTGTCTTGCTCAGTCCTGATTGGCTGGACCCCAGCAGCAAGCTAACCTACCGGTTGGAGCATCTGCCCCCTGGTGGTCAGTGCACATCATAGTGATTGGTCGACCAGTCAACTGTCTGCCTGCCCCCTGGTGGTCAGTGCATGTCATAGAGAGCAGTTGAGCAGCCTTAGCATATCATTAGCATATTACTCTTTGATTGGTTGAATGGACGACTGGACACTTAACATATTAGGCTTTTATTATATAAGATTACACTTTGGTTGGTTGACCAGATGACCAAACACTTAGCATATTAGGCATTTATTATATAGAATTTTACCTAGCTTTTCTGGTTTTCCTTGGGGAGAAGATTGGTTTAAAAACATAGCCCACCGTTTGCTAAAAAAAGAACTTCCGGGATTTTTTAAAAAAATACTTAATTTCCCTCTGGGGAAATTCTGCTGATAATTAAATTCATTATAATTGGGTTTACACACAGTTCTTTGAGAATATATTCATTGCATGAAATAAGTGGTAGAGGTACTTGGAGAACTTTTTTCGAGGGTTCTCAAAACACAGACATTCATTTTTTCCCCTAGAAGACACTTCATAAAGATGTGTTAAAGAATGAATGAATGAATGAATGAATATCCTAGTGGGTGCAACATTTTGGTCTAATTACAACCAATCCTATACAAAATCCAGTGAATGAATTAGCCTTCTTACTGTCCACCCTCCAACCACAAGTACTTCTGACTTCTAACAGTCTGTTTTATGTATACGTCTTAAAAGCACAGACTTCATCACTCATTCCCTGATGAAAATACAATAAGGTCATGCTTCCTTGTGACCTTAGAATAAAGTCCAGAATCCTCACCATGGGCCCCACCATCTTCGACCCCATCACATGCCACGTCCTCCTCTGTTCCACAGACATGCAGAGCTCTTCTCTGCCCCGAGGCCCTGCCCCGCTGCCCAGGGTCCTCCTTCCCTCCCACCCCACCCCACATCTCTCAGAGAGGCCTTCCGGGTTCCTCTCGAGGTCCCCTTCTCACCCAGCTCCATCTGCGCATGCGGACTGCCTTTGTCCTGCAAAGTCCTGGTCCTAGGGGGCAGTGATGCATCTCTCTCCTCTCCCTCCCCAGCACGTGAGCAGCAGGACACGGTGTGTCGGTCATTCTCACTGCGATGACCTGAGCAGAGCCTGCTGTCCACCCCCAGCAAGTCCTCAGTCGGTAACAGGGGCGAGTAACCCCAAACAAAGGAATGTTATTCTGCCATGAAAAGGAAGGAACCTTGAAAACACTCAGCTTGGTGAAAAAGCCAGACACAAGGCCACTAGTGCAGGGTTTTGTTTATGGGAAGTGTCCAGAAGAGGCAAATCCCTGGAGACAGAAAGTGGGTCAGTGGTTGCCAGGGGCCAGGGAACAGGAGGGGCTGACCGCTAAGGATGCAGATTTCTCTCAGATGAGGGCAATGCCCCAGAATTAGATTCTGACAGTTGCACAACTGTGAATAAACAAACCCCCTGACTTGTGTATTTTTTAAAGTGTGAGTTTTATTGTATATGACTTATCTATAATAATAAAAGCGTAATATGCTAATTAGACCAGACAGCCAAACGACCTTCTGGACGTCCTTCCAGACGACCTTCCAGATGAAGCCAGGATCTGCGATTGGCCAGTGATGTCTGACCTGAGTGAGCAGGTGTAGCAGTGGCCCTTATGCAAACCTTTCCCTCTGAGCAGCTCTCTCTGTTCCAGGCACTTACGTGATGACAGTCACGGCCAATGATGCCGACGACAGCACCACGGCTAACGGGATGGTGCGGTACCGGATCCTGACCCAGACCCCACAGAGCCCGTCCCAGAACATGTTCACCATCAACAGCGAGACGGGGGACATTGTGACCGTGGCCGCCGGCCTGGACCGAGAGGTGAGGTGGGCGCCGTGGCCTGGGGAGAGACTGACTCAGCTCTGGTTGTGTCCCCTGAGCCCCCTGTTCCATAGAGGACACCAGAGCTCCAGCGTGACCTCTCCAGTTGGACACAGTCCAGAGGCACCAGGATGCTGGCCCAGAATGCCTGTCTTGGGTGCCTGGGACAGACCCGGGATGACATGTCCTGGGTGCCTGGGACAGCCCCAGAGTGACATGTCCTGGGTGCCTGGGACAGACCCAGAGTGACCTGTCCTGGGTGCCTGGGACAGCCCCAGAGTGACATGTCCTGGGTGCCTGGGACAGACCCAGAGTGACCTGTCCTGGGTGCCTGGGACAGCCCCAGAGTGACATGTCCTGGGTGCCTGGGACAGACCCAGAGTGACCTGTCCTGGGTGCCTGGGACAGCCCCAGAGTGACATGTCCTGGGTGCCTGGGACAGACCCAGAGTGACCTGTCCTGGGTGCCTGGGACAGCCCCAGAGTGACATGTCCTGGGTGCCTGGGACAGACCCAGAGTGACCTGTCCTGGGTGCCTGGGACAGCCCCAGAGTGACATGTCCTGGGTGCCTGGGACAGACCCAGAGTGACCTGTCCTGGGTGCCTGGGACAGCCCCAGAGTGACATGTCCTGGGTGCCTGGGACAGACCCAGAGTGACCTGTCCTGGGTGCCTGGGACAGCCCCAGAGTGACATGTCCTGGGTGCCTGGGACAGACCCAGAGTGACCTGTCCTGGGTGCCTGGGACAGCCCCAGAGTGACATGTCCTGGGTGCCTGGGACAGACCCAGAGTGACCTGTCCTGGGTGCCTGGGACAGCCCCAGAGTGACATGTCCTGGGTGCCTGGGACAGACCCAGAGTGACCTGTCCTGGGTGCCTGGGACAGCCCCAGAGTGACATGTCCTGGGTGCCTGGGACAGACCCAGAGTGACCTGTCCTGGGTGCCTGGGACAGCCCCAGAGTGACATGTCCTGGGTGCCTGGGACAGACCCAGAGTGACCTGTCCTGGGTGCCTGGGACAGCCCCAGAGTGACATGTCCTGGGTGCCTGGGACAGACCCAGAGTGACCTGTCCTGGGTGCCTGGGACAGCCCCAGAGTGACATGTCCTGGGTGCCTGGGACAGACCCAGAGTGACCTGTCCTGGGTGCCTGGGACAGCCCCAGAGTGACATGTCCTGGGTGCCTGGGACAGACCCAGAGTGACCTGTCCTGGGTGCCTGGGACAGCCCCAGAGTGACATGTCCTGGGTGCCTGGGACAGACCCAGAGTGACCTGTCCTGGGTGCCTGGGACAGCCCCAGAGTGACATGTCCTGGGTGCCTGGGACAGACCCAGAGTGACCTGTCCTGGGTGCCTGGGACAGCCCCAGAGTGACATGTCCTGGGTGCCTGGGACAGACCCAGAGTGACCTGTCCTGGGTGCCTGGGACAGCCCCAGAGTGACATGTCCTGGGTGCCTGGGACAGACCCAGAGTGACCTGTCCTGGGTGCCTGGGACAGCCCCAGAGTGACATGTCCTGGGTGCCTGGGACAGACCCAGAGTGACCTGTCCTGGGTGCCTGGGACAGCCCCAGAGTGACATGTCCTGGGTGCCTGGGACAGACCCAGAGTGACCTGTCCTGGGTGCCTGGGACAGCCCCAGAGTGACATGTCCTGGGTGCCTGGGACAGACCCAGAGTGACCTGTCCTGGGTGCCTGGGACAGCCCCAGAGTGACATGTCCTGGGTGCCTGGGACAGACCCAGAGTGACCTGTCCTGGGTGCCTGGGACAGCCCCAGAGTGACATGTCCTGGGTGCCTGGGACAGACCCAGAGTGACCTGTCCTGGGTGCCTGGGACAGCCCCAGAGTGACATGTCCTGGGTGCCTGGGACAGACCCAGAGTGACCTGTCCTGGGTGCCTGGGACAGCCCCAGAGTGACATGTCCTGGGTGCCTGGGACAGACCCAGAGTGACCTGTCCTGGGTGCCTGGGACAGCCCCAGAGTGACATGTCCTGGGTGCCTGGGACAGACCCAGAGTGACCTGTCCTGGGTGCCTGGGACAGCCCCAGAGTGACATGTCCTGGGTGCCTGGGACAGACCCAGAGTGACCTGTCCTGGGTGCCTGGGACAGCCCCAGAGTGACATGTCCTGGGTGCCTGGGACAGACCCAGAGTGACCTGTCCTGGGTGCCTGGGACAGCCCCAGAGTGACATGTCCTGGGTGCCTGGGACAGACCCAGAGTGACCTGTCCTGGGTGCCTGGGACAGCCCCAGAGTGACATGTCCTGGGTGCCTGGGACAGACCCAGAGTGACCTGTCCTGGGTGCCTGGGACAGCCCCAGAGTGACATGTCCTGGGTGCCTGGGACAGACCCAGAGTGACCTGTCCTGGGTGCCTGGGACAGCCCCAGAGTGACATGTCCTGGGTGCCTGGGACAGACCCAGAGTGACCTGTCCTGGGTGCCTGGGACAGCCCCAGAGTGACATGTCCTGGGTGCCTGGGACAGACCCAGAGTGACATGTCCTGGGTGCCTGGGACAGCCCCAGAGTGACATGTCCTGGGTGCCTGGGACAGACCCAGGATGCGTGTCCTGCTGGCGCGTGTGGTTTGGATGGCAGTGGGGACCCCAAGTGCCATGAGCCTAGACCTCAGACTCGGCAAACCGGCCGGGTCTTGTCTCAGCACGTTGTCACCCCCGTGCCTGTCAAATCAACACCAGTGGAAGTGCCAGGTTGTGGCGTGGAGAGTGCCACCGCCCCTGCCCTGGGAAGTGCCGGGAGGCCAGGCAGCCACAGGGTAGGTCATTTGTGCCGCCTGGTGGCTCAGCAGGAGGCAGGGCGTCCCCAGTTACCTCTCAGGGCCGTGGGCCCCTAGAGGCTGCCTCCAGACCAGGCACCTGCCTCTGTGCAGTGGGCGCAGCCTCGCCCACCTCCTGGGCTCCGCCGGGGTGGACAGAGGCCCTGCGGGCCCGGCCAGGACTGCAAGGACGGTGTGGGTGGGGCTTCATGGGGAGGTGGGCCGGGACCTGGGCTCAGGGGGCCTCGGCCAGTCCGGGCACCTCCATCTCGTGCCTGGAGGCCCCACCACCCTCCGGGTGGCCACGAGGTGCCTGCTCTGCCCCGTGAGGCCTGCAGGAGCCGGTCAGGAGCCCAGCCTGGCTTCTGGAAGTCTGTTGTCATCAGCGGGGATGGGGAAGCGGGGGAAGGGGTGTCCTGTGATCTGACACAGTGAGGTCCACCCACACACTAAACAGACCAAGCACCATGCCCGCACTCCCCCACTCAGGGCGGCCTGCCTGCCCCGGGGAGAGGCTAGAGCGACACCCCTTTCTCCAGCCGGCACCTGGCCCGGGGCTTTCACACCCTTGGGGAGAGAGCTGTGGTCTGACGGGGCCTGTGCATACATGTCCTGGGTCACTCACCCCTCCAGGAGGTGCAGGCCCTGCTCCATGGAAACTCTTCCCAGGATGGGCATGGGGAGATGGGGAGCGAAGGGGGAGATGGGGAGTGAGG